TTTTTTTTTATATGGGAGTTGAAGTCGGTTTTTTTTTTGCTAAAAATTACTAGTTCATATTAGCTATGCTTTGCGAATTTTTGCAAATTTGGGAACAATTTCTGGAGCTATAATACGTGGAAAAATTTCTTTTATGCAAATGAATATGGAAACACTGAATTAGCACAAATTGCACAAACGGTAATAAAGAATGTACACGAAAAAAACTGGTCGCACATAACCAAGCATAGCTCGGTTAATCATAACATTAAAATAAAAATCGGTAGACACTTAAAAAGCTGGAAGCATTTTCCACCTTACTGCATCATTTCTTTTTAGTAACAAAAATCAGTGTAGAAACGAGGACCAAGAAAGAAATCGATCGCGAGTTAATATTGCGCAAAAAGCTGGAAAATCCCAACATGTTCCATAACGACATCGCAAAAAAGCTAAAATTTCCAAAGTCTACCGTTACTTATGTGCTTAAAAAATACAATGAATGTTTATCTTTAAAACCGAACCCTGGTAGTGGCAGAAAAAAAGGATTTGCTTGCGAAATTAAGGCAAAGGAAGAGTTATCTGCTTTTAAGAAAAATCCTGGACTTTCGGTAAGAGATGTCGGCAAAAAATTAAACATGTCGTCTTCGTATATACAAAAAGTATGCAAAACAGCAGGACTACGTTCTTACAAAGTGAATGCAGCACCTAATCGCAACGGTAAGCAAAATTTGTTGGCGAAACAACGTGCTCGGAAATTGTACGACAGTCTCATACAAAAATTTGGCTGTATTGTTATGGATGACGAATCGTACGTAAAAGCCGATTTTAAACAAATCCGGGGCCGCGAATTTCACACTGCAAATAAAAGAGGCAATGTTGCAGATAAATATAAAAACAAAAAGTTTGACAAATTTCCCAAAAAGTTTCTCATTTGGCAGGCAATTTGCCAATGCGGCTTCAAAAGTGATCCTTTTGTAAGCACTGGTACAATTAACCAAGAAATTTATGTTAAGGAGTGTCTGCAAAAGCGACTTTTACCTCTTATACGGCTTCATAAAGATCCAGTGCTTTTTTGGCCTGATCTCGCGATATGTCATTACGGAAAAATGGCTTTAGGATGGTAACATAGAAACAAAGTGTATTTTGTAGCAAAAGAGGTGAATCCACCTAATTGTCCAGAGCATCGGCCGATCGAAACCTACTGGGCCGTTATGAAATCCAAACTTCTTAAGACCCACAAAGCTGTAAAAAACGCGCAACAATCCAAAAATAAATGGCAGCTGGTTTCCAAGGAAATCACTGAAACTTCTGTACAAGGGCTAATGAAGGACATAAATTCAAAATTGCGATCGTTTGCTTATTACAAGGAGAATTAACTCTTTTTTAACGAATTTCAATAAAACTAAGTTTAGATGTAAATATATGTAAATATCGTTGAATTCCATTAATATATTTATGTTTTAGAACGTTTTAACTGTGACCAGTTTTTTTCGTGTACATTCTTTAAGTTTACTTATTATTATGCATGAAATACAAAAATTGCAATTAAATGCAGCTCACAGGAATTTTTGTTCAGCATTTTTACTCTTTTTAAATAATTTTGTTTTAATCTGAACGCTTTTTATCATACTATTATCATAAATCAGTAACAGTAAGTCTGGCCTTCAGTTTGAAAATTATTACATAGCGATCAAGTAATATTCGTCAAGGTTATGTCGAAAAAAAGACAGGCATCTCTGTCTTTTTTCGTCAAAAATTTCTTTTAAATTGTATAAATAGCTTCGAAATATAAGCAAACGATTATGGAAAAGTGTGCCATGTATTGACTTGTTTCGTTCAAGTTGAATACAACGCCATATCTCCAATTGGAGAGTTCCAAGAGGATAGTGCCTCTACCAAAGGTCACTCTTTGACATAATGGAATTAACTAAAATATTTACATACATATATGTATCTAAATACTTATTGCACGCCACTACTTTCGTATAACGGAAAATTTAGAAACCGCGAAAAATGTGCTTATGCGGTGACTAATGAAACCATTCCGCTCCAATTTTCAAGAATACTTAAAAGGACTTAAAATGGCCGTTGCTAACCGAAATTTTATTTAGTTAATATATGTACTTACTTAGGTATCTAAGTGTTTGAAAGTACTATTTACTAATCAAATGATTCCTAATGTTGGACATACGTATTTAATTTCATTTACATTTTTAGAACAGACCAAATTGGCCTGACCAAGTCCATGATCCTTTAAATATTATATAACCATCCGAAAACCTAAAAGTCTTTGAAATAAATCTCGTCTAATTTTTTTAATTTTCTCTTGATTACTAAAGTAATGAAAAATTGAAAACTCGTTACGGAGAGTCATCGCTTCTAAATATCTCGAAAACTTGTAGTATTATTGAAAAATGATATATGGACGTCAGATACTAAATTTAATAACCTTTCACTTGATATATCGCCTAGTTTATAACAATTAAAGCATTCCCTAGATATTACGAGCCAAAGTTTAATTTTCCAAATTCATAAACTTTGAATCAATTTGGCGAGCGAAAGATATGTTTCAAATTAATCGTTCGTGTCCAATAATTGTTGGCTTAGACCTACGACAACATAATATTACTATTACAGTACGATCAAACGCCTTTTATTTTCCCCCATACAAAATTGACCCAACCTAATGCACATGCATATTAAATAAGAATTAAATCACTTTTACCTTCATGGGAAATAACCCACAAAAACCACAACTGAGAGTAGTCGAAATGCTGACTTTTTCGTTATAAGCGCCATAGCCGATATCTCGCCATAAGCAATATCTTTAGAAGTGATTAAAATTCAACTATCTATACATAGTATAAAGGAAAGTCGAGATTCTTTGTACGCGGTAATCTCGAAAAC